AAATGGTTTTATTTGGTACTACGTATTATAATTTGCACATAAAATGTTTCACAATTTTGGTGTAACATGCTGCGCGCGCACCCTGTGCACCCTGAATTTCCAACACTGATCGCCACAAAAACATATTAATGATCGGCAAATTTTTGCAGTTGTTTCACGGATTACGAATTAATATTAATATAAAGTATAAAAAATTTTGGAGTGTGGATTCTGATTGGCTAATTTCGCACGCGTGAATTTGCAAGGGACGATTATTTTATGCAATTTGCGTAATATTGCATATCGATAATAATAATCAAAATTTCTGAAAAATGTATAATCAACCAAATCACCGCATAATTGTTGTATAGTTGATTGGTGTGCCCCATATTATATATGGAATGACCACCAGCAATATGGGGTCTGAGGACCCCTGGCGAAAATTGAGTTTCTTGCATAATGTATATCTATGTCACAAGAATTATAGTTGGTGTAAAATTAAATTTAAACCCATGTTTACCATGTTTACCTAGTACAATAATGAGATACAATGAGATATAAGGGCTTTGAAACGTTTACTTATCAAAAACAATACGTGTAACCAATGTTGTTTTGACAATTACACAATAGTCTTAGATCCATATTAATATATATATATAAATATTCATTCATATTAGAGCTTGTACCCAAGTATTAAACGGATAATCAGATACTTATCTGCTTGAAATATATCAATATGGATATCTATTCGTTTATATATTAATATTGTGGTAGAAAAAACGGGTTTCAATCGGGGCTGGAAATAGTACTAGTACTTTAAAAATCCGGATTTTCCTTTTAATATTAAAAATTTAACTTCCAGTAAAAAAAGAGTTGCCGGATTTTTTTCCTTTATTTTTTTTTTTTTTTTTGTACAGATTTCCCATCCACATAAAAAATTTTTATATGTGTATCACTACTTCAGAAGAAAAGTATTAACTTAATTTAAATCTTATTTCACTGCTATTAAATTATTAAATTTAAAATATATACACTTTAAATATGAATTTATGTATATTTGTTTTCCCTTATTCAAAAAAATAAATTATAAATAAATAGATAGAATAAGAAGATTTAGATAATCTGACTACTGAAATTTGGGATGAAGCATTTATAAATGAAACAATTCAAGTCTCAGATAATGATGATACTTCAAAAAATCAAATAAAAAAAGTGAATCAAGTGAAAACTATATTAAAATGTCAAATAAAAAAGTGCATTTTAAAAATCAGGAAAAAGTTTTCATCATGAATGGCTAAATGTTTAAAATATGATGCAGCAATAAAGAGAATGTTTTGCACAATTTGTAAAACACATGGGAAAAAAATCAATTTGCAGGAAAAGGTGACAAATAAATATAATTAATTTTTCATTTTTCAATTATTAATTTGCTGATATTTTAATGTTATTATTTAGGAACAAAGAATGTTTCAAAATCTACTGCTCTAGCAACTCATGCACTTTCAAACCAACATAATGGTTCTTTGCTTCTAGAAAAGACAAGAATAACCATGCAAGATTCTTCCAAAAAAGCCACTAATAATGGTAACAAACATATAATTAATATAATGAAAATGATTTACTGGATGGCAAAAGAAAATATTCCAATTTCCAAACTCCAAGTCTTATTCATATCTTAAAACTTATAGAAATAGTGCACTCAATTCCATTTTCTAGTGTAGATTGTGAAAGAGGTTTTAGCAAACAGAATATTATCAAAACAGATTTGTGTAATGCAATGGAAAATGACACATTGCACTTATTAATTATGGTTGGTTTAGAAGGTACTGATTTATTTTGTATGATTTTAATGATGCACTTAGTAAATTTCTTCAAAGTAAAAACAGAAGAATAAAATAAAGAAAATTCTTAAAAAATTTTAGCTCCCAAAAAATTTCCTTTTCTAAATTTTTCTTCCAGAAAATCCTTAGCATTCAAGAAATTCCGTTTTTTTTTTTCAGACCCTATTTCCCAGCCCTGGGTTTCAATCTTCAAATGCAATTATTGGTCCTCAATTTATCACGTGATTGATTTTTTGGGATTGGACAATAGTATTTGATGACGTACAAGTATCCATCATTGGAAGAATGGAAGTTTCCAATCCCAACCTTCCATTGGTACATCACTGCATTTCCGTAACACAATAATTAAAATCTTGCATTGCATTATTTTGGAATGACAATTGAATTTAATTGAGTCGAAAATAACAGAGGTTGACCAAAAGACTACCTTCGCACTATTCATAGTAAATAAATAAATATTTTTTTTTACTCGGTAATGATAATATTATTATTCAATTAGATTGCACGATAATTTACATAACCAAATAAAATCAAAAAAATTCTACAAATGAACGGAACAAAAAAAAAATCAATGTTGTATTAGTATGTGAAAATGAATTCAAATTAGTCAATCAGAATTACATCCACCCCAAAATTTTAATTATAAATTTCAATTTCACATATACATGTAAACTCGATAAGTTGGTCATTTATTTATATTATAAAGTACTTTAAACAATTGATTGCTTTCGTCCGACCTATCGAGTTTACATGTGTACAACAGTAAGTTATTGTATGGCTTGCTTATTATTAATATATAACGTTACACCTCGGCATTCCATTATTAAAAATTCCCTAATGAGAATATCAATGGTGGGTAGTCTATTCTGGGGCCTTGTTTATTGTTATGCATAAATATTAATATACACAAGATAAAATAATACTTCTTTGTCGTACGGCCCTCTTACCAATGTAGCTAGTACAACTTAGAAGTTTATCTCACAAATTTGAAACTCTCTACGGGACATTACTAGGTGCAACGTGCCTTATACGCTCTATTTGCTCCACAATTTTACCATACAAAGTTTCAATGATAAAAAATCAATTAAAGTTGCATATATATGGAAGGAATAACTTTTAGTAAAATGGCGTAATTAATCTGTTACTTTCGATTGTTTAACCAGCAGACAAGTTAAAAAACTTTTGCAAATTCGTTGAGTTTTGCAAAAATAAATAAAGTTTAATAATTAAATATTTTTTTTATTTAATCTTCTTCAACTTTTTTTTTGTTACATAATGATGTATAGATTGAAAAACATGAATGAAATGATGTTTTATACCGATTCAGAAAACATCAAATGCAACCTTACATATTTACCTGTCTTTCACAATGTTTATTTATGTTTTATAATGATCACATTAAATAGGTTATGATCAACAAAACATATATAAATGAATAAAAATAATTATTTTTAGTCATTTTTTCAAAAAAGAATGGATAAAAAGAAAAGATCATCAGCTCAAAAGGCTGCTAAAAAAACGAGCGAAAACATCGATAAAATACTAAAGGCCGAAAAACGAAGATCAATAAAAAACGAAACCAAAATTGCAAGGTTGCTGCTTCTGGGTATGTTTAAATATATTCATAAATAGATATGCATATAAGGAAGGATCATACAAATATATATTCATTTATGGCGTATATTATATAATAAATATATATATATGCATTATATATATTTTATTATAATATCCCACTTGTATAAAATATTTTTAATTCTTTTATAATCGTTTATTATTAAAGGTTCTGCTGAAAGTGGTAAAACAACAGTTTTGAAACAATTAAAAATTATTCATGGAACTGGTTTCGAAAGTGAACGTCAATCATATTGTAGGATAGTTCGCTTGAATGTGCTTACTGCAATGAGATTATTGACAAATGGACTCGAATACTATGGTCACACTTTAGAACCAAAGAATGAGCCACATCTTGAAAATTTTATTAAATTGACTTTAATAAAAGATTCATCAAATTCTGATTCCATAGATGTCCAAGCTAATATCAAAGAGCAGGATTTGGATGAGGATGATAGTGGTTTGGACTTTTTCAATGAATATGCTGAATCTATTAAAGAATTATGGGCTGATGATGCAATTAAAAAATGTTATGACCATGCTGCTGAAATTGGTTTACAAGATTCTGCAAAATAGTAAGTGGGTTTGTTTGTGAGTTTTTTTATAATTTACACTTTGTTCTCATTTATATATTCTTTTAGTTTCCTGGATAATGTTGATAGGATCTCCAAGGAAGATTATTTACCAAGAGACGAAGACATATTGCAAGCAAGAGTTAAAACATTGGGAGTGTCAGAACATAATTTTCAAGTAGAACACTTAACATTCAAAATTTTTGATGTTGGTGGACATCGATCTCAACGACAATTTTGGGCTCCATATTTTGAAGATGTAGATGCAATAATTTTTATGGCAGCAATATCAGCATATGATCAAAAATTAAAAGAAGATGATAGTGTTAATCGTATACGTGATTCCATCACACTGTTTAAAAAAACATGTAATAATGACTTGTTTACAAAGACTGGAATCATTTTATTCCTTAACAAAATTGATATTTTGAAGCAAAAACTTGCAATATCACAAGTCAAAAAACATTTTCCTGGTTACAAAGGTAAGTGATATATCTTTGTGCTGTACTATTTGGCAAATTAATCAATGGAGACAATTATAAATATTTATATATTATTTAGGTGATAACAAGTATGATAGTGTTTCTGCATATTTTAAAAAACTATTTTTGGAATGTAAGAAAAATGAGAAACAAAATATCTATATTCATTTCACACATGCTACAGTAAGTTATATTTATATTGTTTATAGTCCATGTAATAATTAATAATTGTTTATATTATTACAAATATATTAGGACACAGAACAAATGAGAATAATTGTAGGTTCGATAGATGATCTTATCATGAGAATCAATCTTGAAAAATCAGGTCTTATCAAATAAATATATGTGCCAACAACTATCACTTCTTTTTTTACAAAAGTATTTAATCACCACCTTTACACTAATTTGTAAAAACCTGGATAATATTAATAAAAAGAATTATATCATAATTGTAATTTATATTTTGAAGAGCATATATCCAAATTTCAGTATTTATGTATTTAATAATTTAATTATATTTTTACACTTTTTTTTTTAATATAATAAAAACTTAATTATGCAAAGAAACTCTCCTTTGCCTTTTCTAAATAAATGATTAAAAACTCACATTGTGCTCTCATATATAAATTTTTTTTAAAAAAATTTCAACTGTTAATTAACAGTTTGAGGAAGATCTGTAAATTTTAATAATAAACAGCAGCATTTGGATGAATCCTTGCAGTAATTGTTGAAGGATCAAAATTTATTTATCCATTTTATCAAACACTCTACTAATAGATTTTAATTCATCTTGAATAAGAATAATCTTAAATGAATTATGCTAAAATTCAACAATATTAAGAATTTCAATGTAAAACTTGGGAGTGTTGTTTTAGAATTAAGGTCTTGTACATTCACACATTTTCATTGCAAGACAAATATGTGATGTTGTTGTGTGTGATTTCTCTCTTAAAACTTCTGGTGAAACATATGTCATTTTTGTTTGATGCTGATGTTACCATTATGAATGTCACGGTGAATGATTTTTTGTTCATGAATATCTTTTAAACCTTAATAATTTGACAAAGAATAAAAATTTTGACTTTTCACTTTAAATTTAGTTAAATAATTTTGAAAGATTTCCATTTTCTATTACAAATATATATTCTTTTGTAGTTTGATCTTGTGGTAATCCATAAATTGGAATTTTATTATGAAACTCGTCTAATTTTGAGTAAAAAAATTTAAATAATTTAATTACATTATGGTATTTAAAGACCTGAAAATAAATAGAAAAAAAAATAATTTACCTCATTAAGAAATCCATCATTGAAATCTTTTGTGAATTTTGTAATGCCTCAAAGTAAACATCTGAAAATAAATGATAATTCACCTTGTTAAGAAGTTAATCAGGAATATTTGGTGAATTATGTAATTTTTTTTAGTTCTTTCACCACCATTATTTATAGATTTATCCAAGTAGTTTTGTATATAATTGCAAAACTGCCTACCTTTTTAATACTTGTTAAGTCATTATAAGGAACCAATTGAAGATAATGAGAATTACTACACTCGGTTGCTTTATGTTGTGTGTTTTTAATCAGCCCATCTGGTGTTTCATTGCCATCAGTTAATAGCTTTGGGTCAAATGATTGACATCATGCCAAATGAGTATTATATCTATTGCAATTGGACATTTCTCTTTTTTATATGAATATTCACCATTTTGAAGGCCCCCATCTCCATATAATGCATTATAATGTTATATTCTTTTGTATCTGGATCTTGAATTAATCTATAAATATCAATTATAAGTAATTTACCACATAATTTTTGAACTAAAAAAATATATATTGAATTTCAGTATAATATTTAAAAAATCAGAAATAAATTAAAAAAAAAAAATAATTTACCTATATACCTCTCACTCATTAAGAAACTTATTAGAAACGTTTGGTGAATTATGTAATTTTTTTTAATATACCACAATTATATTTATACAACTTTTATTATTATCATATGCACATTTATCCAAGTAGCTTTGTATATAGTTGCAAGACCACCTTCACCTATCTTTTTGATATTTGTTAAATCATTATAAGGAACCCATTGTAGATAATAATAATTACCATATCCAGTTCTTTAAGTTGTGTACTTTTTTATCAACTCATCTATCATTTATTACCATTAGCCATCCTTCGGTTAATAATTTAGGAATACAAATATCAGATATTATATCTATTGCATTACCATAGATTTTTTTTTCTTTTATGAACACTCAATATCAGCATCTTTAACATTGTTTTGATTTGAATTATTATCCATCTTTAAAATTTTTTATATAATAATAATAAATAAAAACGATTGGTGTCACGCAATTTTATTTGGTTTTAATTAGATATTATTTTTTTAGTAAAGTGTTATGTTTTTCATGTTGAAAATTCAAATTGATCGTGCCTCTCAACCGTTCTTATGGATTTCAATTTCGATTTCTTTTTTTCTAATCTCTCTTGCTATAACTATGCGATTTCAATTGCAAATTACGAATTGCTAAAAGTTTGTTTCTGAGCTGAATTCTTCGGGAAATGTGAGAATGAAATAAAAAATAAAAAGTGAAACATTGAACAAATTTCATTGTGCTAACATCAAAAATTTATTTCTTTACCTGATGTTCGCTTTGTCCGGTTTTGTTGCAAATAGTAATAGGACAAGTGAAATCAAAAATAATGCAAATCACGTGAAATTCCTTCATGTTCAAAACACTTCTTAATATTAATCGATTTATTTTAGATCTCAAGAAAAATTTAAAGTTATCCTAATTTGATTTTCTAGGTAATTTTTAGGTTTTATTACTTAAAGTTATTCTAAAAAACGGCTCGGGTTGAAGATAATCTTTTTTTTGCTAATAAAAGTAAAAAAATTATAAATAGGTAATCCTTATTACTTATTTGAAAAATATAAAATCCAAACCTTTTTATATTAATATATAAAAACCCCAATTCTATACCTGTTATTATTCACCTTAAAAAAAAAATTTCAAACTTCAAACAATCTTGATCAAAACTTTTTGTGGAATGCAGTCAAAGCTCGTTAAGACCATATTCGATAAAGTCATAACTCATTATGTACTACCGTTGTAATAATGTATATTAATATTTATATAAAACCTCATTTGTCTAAAATAAATTTTTAAAATTATTTCCTGAAATAGGAAATATAAAAAATCACTTACTATGAATATGCCTCAAATAACATTAACATATTGACTTCAGCTACCTATTTTAAAATATTTAGGAAGATTTGATTTAATCTTTTTGTTGAATAAATCAGAATTGCATTATGTAAATCACTTTTGAATAGGGATAGGAATAAAGATGGCTCCTCAATTAATTGTGACTAGTTACAACTAATCATGGCATATGAAAATTGAATTGCAGCTAATTGTGGTTTCCATCTTTAATTTTCACAAATTTCAAACATACACATTAAAATCCTATTGTTTTATGTGGTGTTATTTCATTATAACTAAGGTTGCTTGCTTACTGAAACCTCTTAATGACCATCAAAACTCTGCCAATTGCCAATGCTGCCACAAAAACTTTAATACTAAAGATGGGAACTGCAATTAGCCACAATTCAAATTTTCATATGCTGCAACCGCAACCACAATTCAATTTTTATATGCTGCAATTAATTGCAATTAATTGAGGAGCCATCTTTAAATATGATTGTATACTCACAACTTTTAGGAGAAAAAAAAATAACCAGAAGTTGTAAAAGATCACAAGCAAGTATTGTTGGAAATTTATAAAAGTAGAGGTAGATGGATATAATGTACAATGATATTCTTGTTAATGGTGTGATTTATTTCAGATGCGATCATTTTCAGTTGGCTGAAGAAGATTTTGGTGTTCTTGTGATAAGTTTGGATGTTGTTACTTTACAGCCTTGAAATATGTTGGTAACTCTTATGTTTTGTTTTATAGGGTGAGAAAGCTAAAATAATCAATAAAAGAATTATGTGCTGATTCATGCAGAAACTGATCAGTTATTGAAAGTATAAGGTATTCTTGATATTATTTTACAAGAAATCAGAACAGGCATTCTTTTTCAGATTTTAGACATTCAGAAAGTACTCTTATGGCAGTTTGATGGATGTGGCAATGTATAATTTCACAGTGAAACATACATTTTCCACATCATATAATGTGTGAGTAATCACTAGATAAAAATCAATTGTACCTAATTTTTATGTATAAAAACATATCATGTGAATGTGAAATAGAAAATACAACAACATCTATTATTAGCATGAAAGGCCAACCAACCAGTCATCTAGAATGCTATATTTGCAAATACTATGATTTACATATTGAATTTGAGAGTGATATAATTAGGTAACTTACAGAATGTTTATTTTTTTTGATTAATTTCATGTTACTTAAAAATTATTTTATAGAGCTGAGCAAACAGAGTGTTGTTAGTAAGAATTGAAAAATCCACCAAGGCACTGGTTCAAGGGGCATAGACCAGGTGTCATGATATAGGCATTTTTCAAATGAAATCACATATGCTGAAGGTGGAAGTGGGAATTTAATGAAGACAAAATATGAAAAAAATTAGTATGTTTCCATGTTGATGGTATTATGAAATATTTTTTTTTAAAAAAAACAGAATTGCATTAATTGACGATCGTGAATAAACCAGTGAAAATTAGTAGGATCGGCGAGGCAAAAATGGTAAAAAATGGTCAATTGACAATGTTTAACAAATAATAAAGTATGATATTTTTGTATTACAAATCTTGCTCTTTTTATGTATGTGTAAGGTAAATCTCAGAATAATATGTCAAAATATTAAAGGGATTGGAGAGCTCTTCAAAAACTTTTGTATACTTGTCACTGAGATTTCAAGAAGTCAATAAATATAAAAATTCGGAATTTTTTAACTTTCAGCCAACACTATAAAGTATTCTGACCAAAATTATACGTTTTTTTATCAGTTTATCAACAAAAAAAAAATTTATTTTAATGAAACCTATCAAATGAACTTATATGTTGTTATAGTAAAATTAAAAATAACTGAAAAAGAGTTTTAAAGAAGTATTTAACAATTTCTAAGGTTGTTTTCTGTATTTTTTGTATGGGCATGAGAATTAACTTGTGAGGACGGTGAGATTTGAAGAATTTTTTATTTTATTATTATTAATAATAATTGGCGACAAAATTTCATAACAAAATGATCAACATCTCACTGATTCATTCACGGATTGTCAATTTAGTAACTTAATAAGTAATCTTCTTGTGATTCATAGATTTACACGAGAAAATGGACAAGGTTTTATTAAAAAACCTAAGATT